GGGAAAAACACTGTCAAGTCTTTCTTCCCTATGGCTGATACCTAGAGACAGAAATGCATGGATTTATGCACTGCTTATTACTCATATGCAGACTATCCTGTGGCTAGTAATGGACTTAGGCTGTTTGGGTCAGTAAGGGAAGTATATTTCAGAGTAAAGGAGCGTCTTCTAGGACACCGCTGGTAGTCCCAGTGTTGAAAGTAAAGTCTCACGAGCAAGTCATAGGAATGCTGAGCAAAGCATTATTTTCAACTATACTGGCTTACATCATAAACACAGTGCAGGTCTTTTGTGTTCTGCTATTAATTACAAAAATGGAAATCCATACCAAAGTCAGTATGGCCTGGAAGAGCAATAGTCTTGTCTCCGAGAGCTGTACTGTTTACTTTATTTGGGTGAGGCAGTGGAACACAGAATAACCTCTGTCCTTTTGTGTTTGTCTACTTCTGTGTATGAGGAAATTGGCCAGCATTGTATAACGCTTTCCTGCTATAAGCTCAGAAGTAAATACGAAGTGCAAGTACCAGGGTATTCCTGCCACAAGTCCTTGAGGCTAATGCATAAGACAGCTACCACCTTGTGTGTGGACTGTTGGCTTTGGGACAGTATTTAAAGCTCTGTTATGCTTGTTCGTGGATTTATTCTCAGGGAGAGTTCAAAGAAGACTGAGACAGGTCCTTTACAGTGGTGTCCAGTGACAGGATGAGAGGCAACAAGCACAGACTGAAACACAGGAGGTTCCCTCTGAACATCAGAAAATGCTTTTTTACTGTGTGGGTTACTGAGGACTGGCACAGCTTGCCCAAGGAAATGTCCTTGGAGATATTCAAAAGCTGTCTGGACACAGTCCTGGGCAACTAAGTCTAGGTGGCCCTGTTTGAGCAGGGAGGTTGGACCAGATAACCTCCAGAGGTTTCTTCTAACCTCACCCATTCTGTGATAAGATCCTCTCTGAGCCATCGATTTGTTGTCTTTGCTGAATTTGCTCCAACAAGTTCCCACCTCTCTTGTCCTGGGGAGCCCAGAACTGGACACAGTACTCCAGATGTGGCCTCACCAGTGCTGAGGATCACCTTCCTCCTGGCAATGCTCCTAATGCAGCCCAGGATGCTGTTGGCCTTTGCCATGAGGGTGGATTGATGGCTTATGTTGAACTTCATGTGGTTCCCGTTAGCCCATTTCCCCAGCCTGTTCAGGTCCTTCTGGATGGCAGCACACCCATTTGTGGGTATCAGCCACTCCTTGCAGTTTTGTGGCAGCTGCAAAGTTGCTGAGGGTGCACACTGCAGTGATACCAGCCGGCCGCCTCTGCGCTTCTGGGTGCATCCTGTCAGGCCCCATGGACTTGTGTATGGCCAGTTTGTGCTCCCTAGCCTGGTCCTCTTCCACATAAGGTAAGTTGTCTTTGCTCCAGGCTTTCCATCAGGTGTTGGTGGACTGGGATTCCTGAAGCCTGGTCTTGCCACTAGAAACTGAGGGAAAGAAGACAATGAGTACCTCAGCCTTTTCTGTGACCGGGGTGCCTGCCACATTTAGCAGTGAGCCTGTGTTTTCCCTGGGCTTCCTTTTGCTGTTTATATAATTGTAGAATCACTTTTCATTTCCCTTCACATGCCTTGCCATATTCAGCTCAGCTGAGAATATAATTTAAAAGTGAGTTCAAAAGACATGAATGTACAGGACTTTTGTTCAGGTTATTAAAGTCCATGCCTGTGCAGTTAGGTGCAGACAGGCTTCAGTTCCTCTGTTTGCATTTTGAGGAGGCTAACTGTGAGCCGAAGTCAACTGTGAGCCAAGCCCAGCACGGCATATTAGCTTGAGTTCAGTATCAGGTTAATGTAGCCAGCCTGGACAAAGGCCAGGGAATCTTTTGTCAACATAGTCCATGTACACATGCTTGAAGTTGTAATGCCTGTAGCATGCAGGTATGTGCTGAGCCCCACACATATATCTCATTACAATGGATGTCTGCAGATGCCTACATTCTACTTTTTTCCATATTTCTAATACCACTTCTAGTAATTAATCTATTGTTTCTATCAGTCCTAGATCATGTTATCTTATACTACTTCACATCACATCTCAACCACATATTGTGCATTTGTGGCTTTAAGAAACTGTGGCCTAATGCTCAATAGGAAGATCAGATCCATCCTCTTCAAATATTAGTGACAGTCAGAAAGAGGCGTTTTTGCATTTGGATGACTGTTTTCTAAAATGTGCTTTTACCACTGCCAAGACAGCAGGTTCTGTTCCTCACTGGGGCATTGTGGGGGTGGTGGTTTACACAACTATGAATACGTTTATTCTTATAATGAACCCGGGATTCCAGGTCTTTAAATGAGTCTTTTATATTACCAGCTTGGTGAACAGTTGATGTTGACAGAAGAAATTTCTCTAGCAGGAACTGTAAAACTATATTATTCTGGAATTCCATGCCTCAGTCTCACCCGAGCCAGCTGAGAAGTAAGCAAAGTACCAGTACTTTTCTCACTGGCTATTGTATTGACACAGAACGTGGACAGTCCTGGCTTTCTGACAGTAGGCTTCTTGAGTAGTTTCATCATCTAGAACTCTTTGCAAGAGACTGTCTGAGGCCTGGCTTCTTTCCTCATGTCTTTTTGCTTCACTAACTGCTTCTTGAGCATTTTATTCTGTAGGCTGAAGAGACTAAGCTCATGCCATACAGTATAAGGAACCAGGGCATGTCTCTGCAAGAACAGGAGAAATCCAGTTTCCTGAACAGGGAAGATTTTTCACTTTTTATGCTTATTGCAAATGACTGAATGTAATAATCCCAAAGTGTACTGTGTAGGATGAAGAATGGGCTTATTGTTTTACTGTTGGATAAATTATTTTCCTCTTTTTTCTTTTTTTTTTTTTTTCTCTCTCCGTCAAGAGTCTTCGTTCATGCAACCTGTCAGTACCCAAAAGATAAAAAAAAAATGGCATGAAGGACCCGTGTATGACTGCTCTGTCTTGGAAACCTCTTTACTACTGAATAAGCAAACCTATGAGCTACTTGGTGCATAAAAGAGGTTGGTGTTCACATGCCCTTTTCTGCTATTGATGCTCTAATGTGCATTGTGACATTTTCTACTTAGGCGAAATCAGGTGGCTAGAAGGTGTGACTGCTACAGAAAAATAATGCACTACTGTTTTCTCCACTGTCGGTATTTCCATGCTTTAAGTGGCAATCTACGAGCAAAGATTTGCTTACTAAGATAAAGGAGGTCAGGAATGAGTGGATCATCGTAGCCAGCTTTAGAAGCCTACTTCTAGCTAGAGAGACATCTTGTCATATTAAAAGATTCCATTTGATGGAGATAATTATTGTAACGTAAACTTGATCTCATGGCTAACGCGAGCTTGCCTAGTTTCAGTTTGCCCTATTGGAGCTTCTTTTACATTTGTACAGATTATTTTGCCGTTTACAGGCATGGACTTAAAGCTGGGACAGATCTATAGCTTTTCAGATATGTCCAGTGTCACATGTGACCTTTCTTCATAGAATACTAGAATGATTTAAGTCTTAAGGAACTTTGGGAGTTCATTTGGTCAAACCCTCTGCTCTTAGCATGGCTAACTTCAAAGTCAGATCAGGTTGCTATGAGCCTATTCCAGAATTTATCATCTTTCCTGTGCATATTTTTTTTTTTTTCCTGATTGAAATTTCTTATGCTGCAACTTGTGTCCGCTGCCTCATGTCCACCTGCTGTGCACCTTGTAAGAAGTGTCTGGCTCTGTCTTTAGCTACCTAATAGGCGATTATAGGGCAGACAGCAATTATATCCCCCTCGGTACCTGCTGTTTCCAAGGCTGAACTAGCCCAGCATTCTTAGCCTCTCCGTATGTCTTGTAATCCAATCCCCAACCGTCATGGGGGTTTTCTGCTGCACTTGCTTCGGTTTGTCCCTGTCCTTTTTGTGTATCAGAGCTTGAAAGTGGACACTGTATTTCAAATGTAGTCTTAACAAGTGCTGAATAGAAAGGAATAATTGCTTCCCTCAACCTGCTGGCTGCAGTCTTACTAATACAACTCAGTATATAGTTGACCTTCTCTGCTGTGAGAGCACACTGCTGACTCATGTTGAGCTTATCCACCAGCATCCCTAGGTTGTCTTCTGCAACACAGTTTTACAGCCAGTTGGTCCCCAGCCTGTACTGCATATGTTTGTTCCATCCCAGGTGCAGGGCTCTGTATTTGTTGTTTCTGAACTTCATGATGTTCCTGTCCATCTGTTTCTCTAGCCTGTTGAGATCCCTCTGGTTGGCAGCTCTATACTTTGGCTTATCAACTGCTCATTAGAATTTGGTGAACTTACTGAGGTGGATTGTATCCCATTATCTGGGTTAATGATGGAGAACTTAATCTGCCACTGTCCCCAAAATGGCAAATTATGTATTGCTGGATGGTACTGCTGCATTTTTCTGGTTCTTTATCTCCACTTGCTGGATCAGTTTGGCTCCTGAATTTCAAGGAAAGGAAAGAAGGTATGCTGAGCAGCAGCCAGGGAATATATACCCTCTCCAGACTATTCTCCTGTGTCATGGTCCTGTCCTCTCCTGTATGTGGCCTGTAAAGAAGGGACTTCACTTAAGAACCACTTACTCTTGAGTAAACTGAACAGATCATGGTTCTGTAATGTCATTGTCAAGAAAGATCAAGAATGAACTATGAGGGTGACTTGAAATCTGATATAAAAATGTATTTTTTCAATCATACATGTAGAGTGGTGAAGGTATCTTCATGTGTCTTACCAGCCCATCCTCTGCTTTTATGTTCAGAGAATCTGGCTGCTTTTGTTAACATGATCACTTCTTTATTCCTGAGGTTTTACTTTGGCTTGTCTCTCTTGGCAGAGGAGATGTACTCCCTGTAAGCCTTGTCACTTCTGTAACGTTAGAGATCAACATGAAGGCGTGCGTATTCTTTGTGGCGGTTTTGACTCTAACTGTATTCTGACTCTTTTTGTTTGTTTGTTTGTTTTAGGCTGAAGATGCTGAGCCGTTTGTCAGGTTTAGCAAGTACTGTTTTACAAGAACTGTCAGGTGATGATGGAGATGCAGTTACTGAATCCTCTATTGCTGTAAGTACAGTGTTAACTAAAGACTTTCAGATCTTATTAAGAGTTAGTTTGGGGAGAGTGAATCATTTGACTGCAGTGAGAACTGTTTCCTGTTTCTTCATTGCTGAGCACTAGACTGAGCTGTCATTCTACTCTGCTTTTCCTATATTCCTGACCTTTCAAGTCAGCACTTTTGTGGGGCACACCATAATCTCCTTAATTTCCACATCTCAAGGTGATCCTAGAAAATGAACTAGAATTAGGGTGAAGAAAGACTTTTAAGAGTACTAATGATTCTGTGTAGCAGAAAGGGGAGCTCTGCATGATTGGGTGACAGTGGAAGGCTTGATATGTATGTTGCCCTTTGGTACTTGAGACAGTGGATAGTGTGTGAGTGGTAGAGTCTCTCCAGTGCCACTCATTTCAGATTTGCTGGTGTTGTGTTCAGTAAAGGTGCTCTTTTTTTTGTGTATTGGCTCATGGGTATCCTGAGCTTTCCTCCTGGTTTCACCTAATTATGTATAGTTTTATAGGCTACATGAGATGCTTGCAAGGAACAGAGTGCAGCACTTAGGAGTGGAGCTGAAGGTATCATTTGGATGCTATGCTGCAGTCTGTTTAGACTTTTCTCCTCCAGAGCACTTGTTTCACTGTTTCAGGTACAAGCTTTAGAGCCAGAAGCAGAAAGCATGGAGGAGGCACCTGAGGAGCTATTGGAGCGCCTAGCCCAAACAGAAAAACTAGTTGTTCAGCTGAAGGATTTGATCCGAGAAAAGGATGCACTGCTCCAGCAAAAAGAAACTGTACTCAAGGTATCATTTCTTTCACTGGGGACCTGGGAGCACGAGTAAAATGCCGCTTCAGCTTTCTGTGCAAGCCAGCCTCCCGTTTCTTTTGAACATTTGAGACACCTGCACTACTAAATGCATCCATTCCAGAGAACTTTTCCTAAGAATCCAAAGAATGGCCCCTAACCCAAGAGATATAGGATAGCTTCTGTTCATTTTGATTAGGGGTAATTCCTTCTAGAGTAGATAAGTTATATCTGGGGGGGAACCGGATAAAGAGCCTGGTGGGGCCCTTGCGCCAAAGAAAAACTGGCTGCTCTCGCGAGTGAGGCAGACGGGGCTTTGGCGTTGCTGGGGCAACTGCGGGAGAGTTAAATGCGGAGATCCCAGAAGCAGCACTCAGTTGGCGAGGCACACGGCGGCAGCAACGGTAAGTCCTGCGCCTGGGCACTAGATTGGGGTGGAAAAGGGGGTTTCCTGTGCCGGGGAACCCGATAAAGAGCCTGGTGGGGCCCTCGCGCCAAAGAAAAAACAGCTGCTCTCACGAGCGAGGCAGACAGGGCTTGGGCATTGCTGGGGCAACCACGGGAGAGTTAAACGGGCCCCTAGGGAACGTGAGTGGCCAGGAGCGCAGCGAACAGGATGGGCAAACAGGGCATGGCACGGCCGTTTGCGCAGGCAGAGTGAGCAGGCAGCTGCCGAGCTCTCTTGTGGTCTACGCCCTCCCGGAAGAGACTTAGCCATGGTTTCCACTTGGACAAAAGCCATCGCCAGAAGGGATGTGGTGATGCAGACAGAGCTCCCACTAAAACATGCAGCCACCCAAGTCTCTGGCTGCAGGGAGTGCCAGAGCCTTGCTCTGGTGATGGAGGGCTGCCAAGACATCTGTGTGAGGTGCGAGCAGGTGGAGGATCTGCTCAGCGTGGTGGCAGAGCTGAACGAAGAAGTAGCAAGACTGAGGAGTATCAGGGAGTGCGAGAGGGAGATAGGCTGGTGGAGCCACTCCTTACCATCCCCGAGATGAGCATGCCAGATGGAAGCATCAGGAGAAGGAGAGGCTCCCCTACCCTCTTGCCACCAGGCAGAAGGAGGGGACCTAAGAGACAGAGGGGGATGGAAACAGATCCCTGCTCGGCACAGGAGGAGAATCCTCTCCTGGCCTACCTCGCCCTCCCAGGTGCCCTTACACAATAGGTATGAGGCTCTGGAACTCGAGGGCCAGGAGTATGAAGATGTGGACAGTGATCCATCCAAGGGGTTGACTAGGGGAACCAGTCAGCCCCACGCATTACAACAGCCACTGGTAGGAAAAAAAGAAGGGTAGTTCTCGTAGGCGACTCCCTTCTGAGGGGAACAGAGGGCCCGATATGCTGACCAGACCCATCCCATAGGAAAGTCTGCTGCCTCCCTGGAGCAAGGATAAGAGACATTACTAGGAAGCTCCCTAGGCTGCTAAAATCGTCCGATTATTATCCACTATTGGTTGTTCAGGTTGGCAGTGATGAGGCAGCTGATAGAGGCACAAAGACGATCAAAAGGGATTTTAGGGAACTGGGGCAATTACTTGAAGGATCAGGAGTGCAGGTAGTGTTTTCCTCCATCCCATCAGTAGCCAGGAGGCATACGGAAAGGAACAGGAAGACCCATCTCATTAACGTGTGGCTCAGAGGCTGGTGCCAGAGGTGGAATTTTAGGTTTTTCAGTCATGGGGCAGTTTACATGGCACCAGGCCTGCTGGAGACAGATGGGATTCACCTGTTGCAAAGGAGGAAAAGGATTCTGGTTCAGGAGTTAGCAGGCCTCATTGAGAGAGCTTTAAACTACATTCAAACGGGGAAGGGGATAAAACCAGGTTTGCTAGGGATGAGCCTAGGGGTGGCATGCCTGTGTTGGAGAAGAGATC